GACATCATTTGACTAAACCACTCCAGTATTAGTTTTATTAAAACGTGAGAACTTGGGTATTTATCAGGCAGATTTACCCATATAATATTAACACACTGAAAAGAAGAAAGCTATCTTCAAGAAGCATTATTGATAGACACTATTACCTCCAACAATTTACAACTGCTTCACAATTTTTAATTAATATCTTAGGGCATAATAGAATATTCTACTTAATTTAAAGGTCAACTATTTTTCTTTGGCAAAGAAAAAGGGATGACCTTCAAATCACATTTTCTTCTGTATCTCACATTTTTTAGAAAGTTATTACTTCATGTTATGTAACACATATTGATACTACTTATTAATGAGATATAAAAATAAGGAAACCATTATTTAGTTTCCTAAACATACATCAGAAAATATAAATAATGTATTTCTGTCTGATTTTAAACCTTTGCAATTATTGCATATATTCATCCACGGCGTACTGTAGGCTTCCTCCCCAGAGCAGTTCTAGCACTTCTCTAAGTATATGCTATTCCTCTTTATCCCTTTGAAGAAAAATGAATCACATCCACAGCTTGCAGCTATCAAAATGCGATTTATCAAGCATTTTGACAAAAGTGTGTATTACCTCTTCTTTACACTAGGAGGCACATTTTTCCTTCATACAGTTTCATCTCACAGCTGCTGCATGAATCTCTTAGATACATTTAACAATTTCAATCTAAATTTAAGTCCCTGACAACCTACAGTAAACCACGCTGAAAAAGAGTTTCCACTAACAAGGTTTTGCTTGATGCTGATGAAAACCACACTGATAATAATGAAAAATGACATTCTGCACCTGACTGCTGACAAACAAAAACAGTTTTCTTTAGACTGACAATGGAAGAAATAACTCATATGAAATCACATCAGACACCCGTACATTTTTAACAAAACCAATCATAAAAGATGTTTATGTTAATAGTGCACTTATTTCATGTTAAACACATTACAAACCACTTAAAACAGGATTTTTCATAATAAAAGATCTTAAGTTGTACAACTAAATATGATTTTTTTTTTCCATTTCTTTCTATTTTTTTCTCTTTTTTTGTCAGTTGGTTGATTTGTTAATGGGATTGTTAATTGTTCAAGGTCTTGAAGAAACTAAAAGGTAAATAACTTTCATCAGATAGATGGTTGATCATTGGAATATCATCATTTGATTTTTATAGGAAATGTATGTGTATGCATATACATTCAGATTATTAAAAAACAGTATTTTCCAAGAAAGTAGAGATTCTCCTTTACTGTGCATACTTTGGTTTTATAACAAACTATAAGAAGTGTAACATCTGCAGTCTTCTCCTGTTTGTCATCACGGTTGCAAAAAAAATAAAATAAAATAAAATAAAATAAAAGGTAATATTGTGCTATTTTTCCATTTCTCTTGGCCCATGTTTCTGGCAAAGTCATAGTCAGCAAGACAAGGCTAAGATTCTTAATCTTTGCATTTAAGTTCAATAAAACACTGTAACATACACAAGGCTTGCCTTACTAATCAATAATATGCAAAATTAAATCATTGTAACTATGGCTCTTGAATAACGAGACCTCCTGTAGTAAATTTGTATTATTTGTTATTATCACCTAATAATGCATAACGAAACTAAATGCAAGTGTCACTCTGTAGTGATATGCTGTTTTTAAACAAACTGAAGTGTTGCTCACTGGTGAGACCCTTCCTAAAAAGCATAACAAAGTGCTAATGAAATAAAGGTAGAATTAGTAAATTACAACTGATGGGTCGTCGTAGTTCCCTGACAATTGATTAATATAGATCATGCAATGCTGAAATGAAAAAGATATCTTAGTGAACAGAATGACACACTTGAGGGGGGAAAAAAGAAAGAAAAAAAAAAAGCATTTAAGTATAAATTTGGACTGCACACATCACTATTCAAGTTTATATAAAATTAATTTTTATTTCATATTTGTGTGTTATTGCTTTTCCCTCATAACTATGGTGACAGTGAGTGGCTGACACTGCTAGTGTTTGCAGTCTCTCTCCATTTCAGTTTCTCCCAGTGAGAAAGACTGCTGCTTTAAGATTAGTCCAATGAGTTTACTCTCATTGTGTATCTTTTTTTTATTACACCATGCAATCGTTTCTGTCGCTTCTCTGTGGAAGTTAATAGTGTCGAGAAAATAAGATAGTAAGATTTCTCCTACATTCATATAATAATTTATCGAGACTTTTAACTCCCACATACACTTTCAACATTGCAGGTTTTGAAGTTTTTGGTCACTGCTCAAAATTGAACTAAAATAGCAACATACTAATATTGACAAACAATGGATGAACTTTTATTTGCACAACTACAGAGTGTACAACACCAAACCACATAATTTACTGAGCATTAAAGCCATTTACCAAAATTGCTCTCACCCTGAAGCAACAACTTTACCATTAAGATTAACCCATTTTCCCATGAACTGCAGCAAACTTTCATAAAAATACTATAGGAAAAGTCTGTATATTTTTCTGCAGATTTTTTGAGATCATTAGAAAATATTCTTGTAATTCTCTTCAGTTGAAATAATTAAAAGAATAATAAAATACTATTCATCAACTGTACAATCTAAATGTACTACACATACATGGGAGTATTACTAGTCTTCATTAAGATTTTTACCTTATATTATAGTAGTATCATTTACCTCAGAATTCAAAGTGTTTTCATAAACAGAAATCCCTTAAACAGTCAGTGAAATTAAACTGTCTCTTATTGCATTTCACTGCAATAAAACTGGAAGTTAAAATTAGGAGTGTCAAGGTATACAATGTTAAGATAATACTATGTCAGTTACATTAACCATGAACATATGTAAATGCCCAGAGAGCAATTTTGTCCAATCACCTTTTTGTCCAATCTTCTGAAAAATGTCACAGGATCTTCAATAACCACAAACTGCTTTATACTCCATTTCACTTCTCATCCAAAAATGTATCCAGTACCAAAATAACTTTAGGCATAATGCCTAAACAATAACTTGATGCTGAATAAGATATAAAAGTCAAATCCATCTAATAGGCAACATCATTCCTTTCCTGCTTTGGGTTTTTCTAGGATGATTTCTGTCACGTTAGCAACCACATCATTCCCCTTGTAGTTTGTGAGATTTTATGAGATACAGACTACACTGTTTCAATGTCCATTCTAATTCATTTTGATAAAAGGTGAAAAGCTTGCATGTCAATAGTTCACTATTCATTAGTGAAGTTTGATTGCTATATTTTCATAAATTTCTCATTAATTTAGCATTCCCAAGACTAAATTGGGTGTAATTGCAGACATAATAAAACTTTTCTTATAGCCTTTAATAACACTTATTCACACTGTTCCATTACTGTGTGTATTAGGGATGAATAGCTCTTTATCATCGTTAACGTTCTTCATTTGAACAACAAGCTTCACAAAAAATTTGTAAAAACACGTTTTTAGTAACTTGACGTGAAGTTTACTGGGCACATTTTTTTGAAATCTTCTATGAATTTTATGCCACATAAAGAAAAAATGGGCAACTCAGAGTCTGCAAAGCCAATGTGAAAGTGTCATCCAGGCAATGATGCCTTAAACCCCTTCTCTGATCTTGTTAAATTCTTCATGCAGTCAGAGAATTAAAAGGATAATTCCACTTAAGACCCTCCCTCACTTAAATAAATGAAAATTCTTTGCTCCAGAGTCAATGCATTCATAGTTGCTAATCTATTACAGTTCTTTGCATTCCTACAGACTTAAGGTTTAAGGTGATAGACCCAACAATACTTCTGTTTAGAGGAGAAAAGAGTCAGCTATCAGATCCAGAAAAACAGGAAGGAGAAGGGGAAAAACAGAACAAAATTCAGACAGGAAAGATTTTCCTTCCCTTCCCACCTCCCCTCTCCCCAGAGTTTTATAGTTTTATCCCACATATCCTCTTTATACTCCCTTAAAAAAGTATGAAAAAAAAAACAATAAATGCTCCTAAGGTCAATAGTCCATCTTTTACGTTCTCATTTACCATGACTTAAATGTAATTCAAATCCAATTCTGCCCAAATGAGAACACAGGTCAGAATTTTGTGCAGCAGATCCCAGTGCCACCTTCCTTCCCTGTTGTACAGACTCACTAAAAATTTAATCATCTATAAAAAAGGGAGAAATGTCAGAGGAAGAAATTAATCCTTATTTCTGTACTCCCAAAATGCAGGAGAATGCAAGTTCAATTACCTTCCAAGAGCAGAGACAAGGCTTTTAACCTTTGTCTACACATTCTAGACAGAAAACAGAAAGCTTAATGGCGGTGTTATTGCTCTCCTCCAGTTTTCAGTGTGCCCAGGTCTCCATCTTGCAATGGCAAAGAACTAGTCACAGCTTTTGATAAGACCTCACTTCTTTTTTTTTTTTTTTTTTTTTTTTTTGGTACTGACTGTCACAAACACTGCAATCATGTAAATTTATTATAGCAAAGAAGGAAAAAAAACAAAACAAAACAAAACAAAACAAACAAACAAAAAAAAACAAAACCAAAACCACTTGCCAAAGTAGGTACATGCTTAGTAGTTGCATTAAAATGCTCAAAAAAATGTTCCAGAAAGCAGATCATGCCATTTTAACTTAACAAAGAAACCATATGATCCTTGCAATAAGAAGGGGATATTATAGGTATGTGACAGGGCAACCTCCAAAAGCCCAATGCTAAATGACAACAGCACTGCATACTACTTCATAAGATTTCCTTCTTTCTATCCATTCTCACCATGCAAAACTGCCTGGAGCTGTTTTTTTCTCATTGGACATGTCTGTTTCTTCAGATGAATTACAACACGGGGAACTTCAAGCAAACCACATTATCTTCTACCAAGCATTATGAGCTAGACGACCAAATATTCATGCAGGTGCTTAAAAATATCTCTAACAAATCTGAAAGGGAAGGAAAAGAGTGACAAAAGCAATACAGGTAAGCAGAGCTCTGTCAGTGACTCACCCGAGTTGGGGTCGGAGTTGCCATCAGCTTCAGTCCTCTTGTCTGGTGAGGCCTGGTCGTAGAACTCATCCTGCGGCTGAACCAGAGGGAGAGGGTGTGAGATCAGGGTTCCACCACCCACCGGCTCGTGGTCTCCCAGACCACTGTCACTGCAGCTTTCCTGGGAGCCATCGGGGAGGTGAAATGTAACACGGCGCTGGGACTACAAAGAAGAGCACAGGACATGCTGATTAGTGCTCTTCTTTTCTGTTCTCCTGATTTTTTAAAAAAACTTTTGAAGTACAACTAGTTTCCTGGCACTGCTGGAGAGGCAATTGAGTTTGCTGGTGATTTTTTAAATTTATTTTTATTTTTGCTTGCTTTTATAGCAACCCAGGGAAGACAGCAGACAAAAGTACTCATGTGCTCATCTGTGAAGTAACCTTCTCATGAAAAAGTGATCAGCAGACCTTTAGGTATGTTTCTTATCATTTAAAAATTGTGATCTATGAACACTTCCTGATAAGCAGAAATAAACATTGGCAAACTGTTATGAAAAGCAAACATTGGAAAATGTAATAAATATACTCTCCTGAGCTTAAAACCCATACTATCACTGCTCATATTATTGAAATTAAAAAAAAAAAACAAAAAAAAAAAACACCAAGTTAAACAAACAAACAAAAAAGTATATTTTTACTTTGTCATCTTTCAAGAATTGAAGGATTTACATGGATACTGAACTGATATCAGCACTCTACCTAATACAGACATTTAACTCTGATAATGTAACTGAAACTGCACTGATCAACAATGAATCAAAGAATGCAATGATGGAATATGCAGTTATCAGTTCTGTAAGAAATATAAAATTACAACTCAGGTATATTTCTCAAAGGAACACGGAGAATGGCAGCCAGAACTGTAATTTTTCTTGAGCTTCTTGAGAAAGAAAAAAGTCACTGCAAAAGTAAAAAAATAAAAAATAAAAATAAAAATCCACATTGTGCATTTGGTTTAGTTGGTCATTACTGTGAAATTCTCATCTGGAGAAATAGCTTGACTTCATGAGTTGTGGCCACAGTATAATGCAGCAATTCCCTGTGCACTCCAGAGCCGTTAGCACTATTGTGAGTTGTTTAGCACTAGCAGCTGTAGCATTCATGAAAGGAATATAACAGGTCTTCAAGGATCAGAATACAGCATTTCTGAAGCCTCAGAAACAACTAGTTCAAGGCCATCTCAAGAGGGAGGTTAAATTAAGTTAAGCAAAACTTTCCTCAAAAATGAATTTCAGCAGCAGGGAGCTGCTGAATCGGATCAATCTGGTTAGCTAGAAAGATTTAAAGTGAAGAGATTCACAAAATTTGCAGTAAGTTTAACAACGGTTTGTTTAGTGCTTTTTTTTTTTCTTTTCTTTTTTTTTTTTTTAATGAGAAACCCTTGAGTTAATAGTATTAACTGTATCTTTGCTTATTAAAAACTATTTGTTAATGGTAATTGCTGCCATTTTACATGATGATCAATATTTTCTATGAGGCTTCCTTTTATTCATTTCCCTTGGGTAGACACAGATACTTGATTAAGTCAATTTTCAATTACTTTCGTGCAAGTCAGTATAGAAATAAATGTACTATTTGCTCTTGGCTGTGATTTTATAATTAGTATCTTACTTTTAAGTTCCTTTCCTAGCTTTAGGATTGGAATCCAGCATAAAAAAAACAAAAACAAAAACAAAACAAAACAAAAAAAACCCACAAAAACCCAGATCCTCTGAGTCACTGAGCTGTATTAATTTATACCAACAGAAATCTTAACTCTATATACTGTCAGTAAGCATTCTTTTACTTCAAGCTTCAATACTTTTTCTTCCAGTATTTTCACTATGGAATTGCCACCCTGAACAATTTCTCTAATCACTAACAGATATTTTTCCTTTAAATTTGAACGAAATATACTTAAGCACACAGTTTAAAAAAAATCTTCTCTTCCTACATTTATTTTCGGTAACCCAAATTTACAAATCTGTTTTTCCAAGGTTAAGAATTTATGTCACTAGTAAAATCAGTAAGCAGCAGAGGAAAAGGAGATTAACTTCTTAACCTAAACTAAACTAAAAGACTTCATAAGAAAATATGAATGACTAAGAAAAGTCCTTAAAGAGGAGAAATGAACATTTCAACATTTTGGAAAATAATTAAACTGTTGCACTTAATTTACCACCCAAATATACTGAAAAAAAAAAAATGCAGTTATACAAATGGACAGTTTCATGGGCTGTGAAGCAGAAATACTGATCTTGGTTACCAAAAAGCTCCTTATCCTAGCCAAAATCTGTTCTGACTCTAAATTGACAGTCACTTTGTAAAATGGCAGAGCTTGAATACTGATATGGCAACTCCTCAGTTTTGTAAATTTTTAAGCTCGCACTTTGAATGATAAGAAAAAGATATATAAGTTTGGTTGTATGGCTTTCCAAGCGTCTCAATAAGGACCCCACCAATCATAAAGAATTACAAAACTCTGAGGGTCCCTTAAACAGTCATCCAGATTCAGAGGTGACGAAGGGGCAGCATGCAATCAGTCAGGAAATGTCAGACTAAGCCATGCCATCAAAACACTGAGAGGAAAAGCCTTCCACAAAGAGAGACTCAAAGCCAGTGCTTTAGACATATCATGTCACTCAAAGGGGAAGACAATCCATTCCATCAACTGGAATCTTATTAGTGTCTTAAAGAATGTTCCATGCAGCTGCCTGTTCCATGGGCCCAAGCCCAGTGCTGCTCTCACAGCCCATACTCTCCTCCCTCAGGCTGGCAGGTGCAGCAGGCCTGAACACCTCCAGGCTTACCAGCACACAGCACACTTATGGGTGCTTCAGTCACCAACACAGCCCCTCTGCCTGTTCGGATAACACTACCTGGCTCTCCAGCTGTATCATATTCAAAGAACAGGCCCCTTGATACTCCAGACTGGTAAACACAGGCCCATTTGTGAAGACACTGTGGAGAGGCACCAAAGAGCAATCTAAGAGACAAGGAGGTACCAATGAGTCATATGTGTACCTTGACATCAGTACCATCTACGGGGGAAACAAGACTCCCTTGCAAGAATCCCTTGATTGGTAGATGCAGGTGCACTGTGAGATTTAACATGCATGAAATAGGAGAGAACTTTGTGGGAATTGTATAATATTCATATGTTAAATGTATGTAGTGATTTAGCTCTGGGGTGTGCATGCCTTGTTGAGAGATCAGTGTGCACACAGTGCTGTGAAAAAAACAGTGTCAGCTTTCTAAAGTATCATTTGGTTTAGAGAGTTTTCTTGGTTATGGTTCTTGATAACATTTATACGCACTCGGGTCCTGCCATTAGCTGCTGCTGAGTCCTTGCAGTACTGACACACACAGAACAAGGAGTGAGATTACTCGGAGAGACAGTTAAGAGATTAAATGATAACACAAGACAGACTGTGGTGATCAGCCCCATTCTGTACCCCTTTCTGATTGTTCCTCTTCTGTTCCTTTCAGTCTCCTTCCCCTAAACTTTCATTCATAAACTTGGCACTGTCCCTCAAATATCCCAAATCCTCACATTCCCTTGTTTCACCCTTTTCATAAGTTACAAAGTCCAGGTTGGCCCTCTCCAAAACTGTTGGAAAAGTTTCCATTGCCTATTTCCTAATGACTGGAAACTTTTGGTCCTTGGCACTGTCTCCCTTGTCTACAAAATGTATGTCCCTGGTTTACGGCTTCCCCTTCTAATTATTATTTAAATGTCCTTGATTAATGAAGCAGATGCTCTCACCTTCCACAAATCTTTAATGAAAACAGGCTGAGTTAGATCCTTACAATGCAAAGTTGTCCTTGCCTCTCCGACTCCTTGGACACATAAGATTCCTAAAATAACTGAACATGTTCAAACTGTTTTTTTTTAAAAAGCTATCCACTCACAAAAAGGCTTTTGCTTTCCAAGGCATACTGACTTTCTGTATATAATAATATCAGGGACTTCTTTCAGGAGAAAATCCTAGAGCATGCTTAGACTATATTTTTTTTTATTTTTATATTTTTATAATTTTATTTGGTTCCTCATGCAACCAAAGGAAGCTTTGAATTTTTTTTTACCTAAATATAATTAATTTATTCTAAAAAACATTGATACATGGTACAACTCTAGAATCAGTGATAACAAGAAACTACAGTTTTAATTATACTATAGTATATTTAGGAGAAGTACATACAGCATGAGGTAGGGCTATGGTTCATCTCCATACCACATGGCCAACCTTCAAATCTACAATCTGTGACATATTTGATCATAAATCATCATTTCTGGGGGAAAAAAAATGCAATACATGGGCTTTCTTTAGATCTGATTTTTAATCGGAAAATATAATATCTTTGTTCTGTAAAACTCAAAATTAAAAGGAAAACTCAATTAAAAACATCATTTGTGTCATTTGGAAAAAAATAAAAATAAAAATAAAATAAAAAAAAACCTTGTGTCAAAATAATTTTAGTATGTAACCCAGGACAATTTAATCAATGTCTTTGAACCCGGGCTGAATTTAAAAATCAGAAAAACAACTGATATCAGATGTACTGAATCATTCTTCTATTAATCACATTTTGCAGCAGATTCCATAAAGCTCATCCAGGTGAACCATGACTTCATTCCCACAAGAGGTACACAGAAAGAAATAATTCTGTATCTTAGATGGTGACAAAGAATAGCAAACTCTAGTGTTGATGAAAAAAAAGTGCTGAAGCGTAATATGAACTTTTTTTTTCTCATTCCAGACAAGGTGGTCAGCCAGCTGATACTTTTGTAGTAGTAACAAGCAAAAGTATATTAAATCAATCATACATGAAACTGGTCTAGTTACAAATAAAGAAGTGAACTTAAACAACATCTGGCAATTTCTAACAACTGTAATTTGCAAGATTGATAGACATAAATAATAGCGGTGATTCTTGAAAATGACTAAGAATAAAAGCTCTTGAGGGGTTAGGGAGGAATGGATGGAAAAGGATAGAGATATTGGCACAGGCACAGAAAAGTAGAACCTGTGCTTGGCGTAGCATATTACATCTTTCTTCATTAGCACATTTTTATTTCAAGATACTGAAAGCATTTTAAAAATACATCTTAGCTGCATCTTACTCTTCTGTCACGTATTTCTCACTTCTGTTTTCTTGATGTAAGGAATTCTAATTGGAAATAAAGTAATCACTACAAATATCTGGAGCAGTTTCATAATTTTTCAACGCTGCATGCTAGTCAGAAAACATAGTGTGTTGGACCAAAATACCTTATTTATGAAAATCTTAGCTTCATAAAACATATTCTGACACTAGAATTTGTGATTTCAAACCATACAAATCTATTGCTTTTGAAAGTAGCTTTGTGTATAAAAAACACAATCCTGAAATCCTTATCTAAGCAAAAGAATTTGTGGGTACTGGACCTCAGCATGGATTTCTATAATAGTTGGGCCAGTGTTGTTGGTAAACTTTGTTCAAACCTTTTTATGTGCATCTTTACATATAGCAAATGTGTGCCTTTATCTAAGTCAGTATGACCATTCTTGAAAGTGTTAAAGTGTTTAAGTAGAGAAGCTCTTAATCACAGTGTGATGACTAAACTTGTTTTTGAAGATAGGAGAATCTTGAGAAAACATGTAGTTAATTAGCATGTCTAGCTGGCCTGTAGAGAGATTAGCCCTATCTTATTGACCAATGGTAAATTGAGGCTGTATTGGGGCAGTACATTTAATTATATTACATAAATATAAATTAAATAAAAATGTAATTAATAGTATAAACAAATATAATCATATATATATAATATTTAATTATTATATTTAATATTTATTAAATAACGTTGCAAAAGTCCCAGGGTGTGCTAGCTTTGTGAAAGGCCATCTAGACCCAAACTCATGCAACTTCGCTGTAAATCTCATCTCTACGTATGAAATTGGCTTACTGCACACTGGGTAACGAATCCTCCATTACTCAGACTATGCCAGTACTGGTGAGAATTGGGCAGGTTTTCCTGCTGACTTATGTTACAAAAACCATCAAACACTGGCAGAAAGTGGTTTGTAAATAACGTAAGTTATTTAGTTGACCTGAGTGCTTTAAATCTGAAGTTGAGGAAAGACTATTCCACATCATATTGAATGCCTGAAATGTCCTATAGCAGATGAGTTACAAGCTGTGTTGTAAATAGAATTTTACACTGGAAGTATAAGCACAAGCTTATAAACTCAAAACTATTCAGTGCTTCCATTGCATGTTAGATTCTAAAATGTATTTTACTTCCAATTATGTAGTTGAATCAAACAAAGTTACAGAAATCAGCATTAAGAGGAGATTTTCCATGGTAAAATTGCTGTATTCTGAAAATCAGACTTCATTGCATAGCTATTGTTTTGATTTTACTAATCAGGCAGCCAAGAAATAATTACTCTATTGTTTCTGCTACTGAATGTCTCTCACAATGACTCAGCATGAGATGCTATCCATTATGATAAAACAAGATACAATAAAAAAAAAAAATAATAATAATAATAAAAAAAAAAACGTGAAACATTTCTACACTACCAGCTTAGCTTCTTTCTGAGATTAGAAAGCAGGTAGCTAAACAAAATGTCCGCTTCTCCATTCAACATATTTGCATGCTATGAGCCTTGATTTCTGGCCTTCTAGACAAGGCCATCAAAACATCTCATTCACACCAAGTCAAACTAAGCTGTACAGAATGGACCATATGTTTGCATATCAGACTACCTATTCAAGCATGACACATCTTCAATTGTATGTGAGATCTATACTTCAAAGGCGAACACTTGCAACAACAAAAAATATTTCACCTTCCTTTCTGAACTATTATGCCATTCTTTCGTTAAGGTGACAAACAAACATTATAAAATAAAAAATAAAGAGAAAGAAAACAATTTGGGAATATTTTCCTTATGTCAAAATTATTCGCACTACCGAAGATCAAAATACAAACATAGAAAAGTAATCTTTATGAAAAAGATACAGAAAAATCTATATATCAAAAACTTTTTTGACACTTAAACACCACCCTTAAATTAAGAAGAAAAATTGAAAATAATATCAAGAGAAAACAGTAGAAAAAATCCTATAAAATGACAATGAAGAAGAAGAAATTATGTACAAGTTTAAGAAAATGTTGTAAGGATGAAAGAGACAACTGTGCTTCTTTGGAGGTCCTCTGTGGAAAGCATCTATTTGATAAAGTTTGTTCCTCTCAGGATTAAAAGAAAGACTCTTGGTTCATGTACTAAAATGTGGATATAATTTTTTGATGATATCAAGCTTGTAATAGAAATGAAGTCACAAAACCAAGCTTAACAGTTTCAGAGGGGAGGAAAATAGGGTTTAAAAAAAAAAAACAAAGTAGTTTAAACCCTTCTTTTCTCATAAGATTTCTCTAAGTGCTATGCTGGAAGCACTTAGGGTGCACCTTTTTAATGCGGCAATTGAATCATCTGGGGTAGGAGATAATTTTTTGAACTAAAATACAACAGGAAACTTGAAGAAACATACCTATGTTTGTATGTGCTCCAGAAAGAATTGGCAAGGTCTCTGAATTACCATATGGTTGCTGTATTAGTTTGCTTTGTAAACAAACAATAGCTCTTTTGCTCGTTTGCTATTATTTTCAGTTCTGATTGACTTAATAAATTCCCCTTATAATCTTCTATTTTCCAAACTGAAAAAATGAATCTTAAGTATTTTTTTTCACTGTGACCTCGGAAAGTGTACAGTATATCCTGCAGAAAGGCCAAAAAGACCAAAAATAAGGCTTCATATAATTCAGCCTAGTGATCTTATACACATTTTCTTACTTCATGCTTCACTTGAGCTTATGAAAGAACATTAGTATAAAGTAAAATTATTCTCCTTTCTTAGTAAGAAGTCCTCCTTGCTTCTCTAAAATAATCTTGGCTCAATCTCACACTTTCTGTACAAACTGTGCAGTAGTTTCCAGAAATTTGCTAAGAGAAATAGAATTCTTTTTTCTTTATTATGTCTAAATTAAGTTTGCTACAGCAGTCCTCATTCAAGGGTCCTACTTGAATCACAAGATAAGCCAGTCTCTATTCTCATTTTGATACCTCATCCAGAGAACCAAAGTGACAGAGGTAAGAAAGGTTTCCATCAATTTCTCAGGCTAAGGAAAGGATGGGGGAAAAAAAAAAAAAAAAAAAAGGCAATTTATTTTATATCTTCCTTGTAAGTTTTCATACCGTGCTGCACATGTAGGTAGTTTGAGTGCTTAGATATTCTCCTGTTTTCTCTCCCTAACATAACAATGTTAGTATCGATTCCAGAATGTACATTGTTTTATGTCAGATCGCCATTTGATTTCTTCTACTCAATTTCACCGTAGCAAAATGTCGTACAAATCAGTAAATTACACTGCAATGTATTAAAAGGAAACATATAATCACCTCGTATGTCTGTTACTACTTAGGCTGAAGATAACTGGCCCCGTCTTTAGTGTGAAAAGAATGACTCAGAGACAGATTGTCTCAATTGCCGTCTCCCACTGACTGAGGAGAAAATGTGCGCTTGATGGCCCTAAGCACATCTAAGTATGGAAAGTAAACAGCCCCATTCTTTGGGCAGTTCCTTTAGTTTTGCAGACACAGTGAACAAAGAAACAGTGAACTGCAATCAAATCCTGTGCTTCTAATAGTCTTTTGTGATCACTTTCTCTCTTTTTTAAAGTTGTGACAGTTGTAACACTCCTTTAGTTTATTTCATGAAACCAGTAGTCTTCACTTTTCCCTGTGTTTTTGTTGTTGTTTGTGTACCTGCTTTTTTCTTGTTTTCATTTTTTTTTTCTTTGGACAGAACAGAAGCTATTATCTATTTTATTTTAAGTATTGTATTTTCAATTAGTATGCAAACACTCATTTTTCCAATAGGCAGTTACCTACCTGAAATCATCTTAACTGTAAGGCAAACTTGACCTAACGTGAAAGCTGAGTTGTACAATTTATTCTAGACTAAATCAGAGTGTTACTTTCTTCAGTCTGGTGTCTGCTAAAACAGCACTGAATTGTCAATATTTTCTGTCTTAGACTCCTCCCCCTGAGATAATTGTCTGAGACTCAGGAAATCAGTTCTAAACCCACAGTTATGTAAATTAATTTCTCAGATGCATGGAAAGGCAAGTGGGGGAAAGAAAAGAAACTGCTGTACACAATAAAACAGAAAATAGTTCAATATGCAACTAAACTAAATCATTACAAATTGTTCAGATGCATTATTCAACCAAATTGCTACAGTAAACCACAGTTTGGTATATTTTTTAAATGTTTCTTACCAGAAACTCTGGGGAAAATAAACCTTAGAAAAGATTCATTAAACATGTAGCAATTTGTAAATAAATACCTGCTAAAATTATTGTTGTGACTTGGACAGTTTCCTAAATAAATTTGTAGTTAATGGAGCAAGAGAGGTAGCTCTAGTGAGATTCTTGGCATGCAAAAAGGTGCAGTAAAATGGCTTTTTGAGGTGTCTATACTCAGCCATTGGCTGCAGATGACTAGATAAGTATAAGGTATTTGACAACTAGGAGACTCATGGCAGACTGATCCTTTCACCAACTTTATGTTTTACTCCTTGATAATAGAGAGACGTGAAATCCAGAATTTTAAAATGTAAATGCCCAAAGTTAACTTGCCAGTAGGAAAACGCAGATCTTGCATTGTATTCTTCATCAGTTAAGGATGTGATTTTAGATATTCCATACTTGAAACTTTAGTTGTCATTAAGTACTGGGACATGGGAACCTGAAGAAAAAGATCTTATAAACAAAAGATACTGCACTGAGTGTGAACTGCCTTATCTGTTTCTGTGGCACATTTTATAGAGAAAAACTTCTTTGTATTACAGCTTGGAACATTACAGCACAGAAAGAAGCTCTCTTGTAAACAATTTAGTTGTAATGGAATTATATTTCATGTGATCTTTAGTAATTTAAAGACTTCACTGATCTTCAATTTGTTTGTTTAGTTTGGTTTTGCTGATGAGCTCCTCCTAGCAAGACAGACAAAACACATTACAAGTGCACTCACTTGAAGAAGTACTGCAGAAGCACTGTAGCAATTATAATGATAACCAGCATAAGTTCTCTGCACTCCCAGAAGTTTTACATTAATAAAAGCATGTATTGATCAATAATGTATATGAACTATGAAAATGTAAAAACAGCTGTTGCTGAAATTTTACTAGTTTAATTATAAGAATAAATATGTCCTGATTTATATTCTGTAAAAATCATCTAGCTTCAGTAATGTGAGTAAGATAATAAAATTCTGGGAAGTTTCTTTTAACTATAAATTACATTTCCAGATTTGAGGAAAAAAAAGAAAAAAAAAAAAGAATATTTCCCATTTGAGGAATGTACATTATTTTGAACCTGCTTATACAAGAAAA